CAAATCCGACCCAAATCCGATTTTTTTGACCCATCTGACTCATATCCGATTTTTTTATGACAGTCTGAACGAGACAAATCCGATTTTTTTGACCCATCTGACTCATATCCGATTTTTTTATGACAGTCTGAACGAGACAAATCCGATTTTCTCCATGTGTTTACAGCTCCAAAACACAAGTCCAGTTGCTTCATCTTTTTACTTTTCATTTTCCACGTAGATAGTTTGATAATAACATGTCCAGCCTGAGTCTTACTTAGAAAGAATTTCACGAAATCTATGTTAAACTCCAGGATAGAACCTACTGATTATCTTTTAAGTGTTTTGAAGTTCAAACAGTAAAATCTGTTTTATCATTAAATTTAAATTCTAATTGTAAAAAAAACGTTCAAATTATACTGAGAGTACAGTCTAATAAGAACCTTCTGAATAATTTACCTTTCATATCCGGAGAGTAGAGGTGGTGCAGCAGCACTACTCCTCATCAGACAGGCAGACAGAATTACAAACAAAAAAATTGAGCTTCAAACAAACTGATGCTCTCTAAGGTCCATAAGTTGTATCAAAAAAAATGTTCAACTGAAAGTTGTGGAAACTCCTTGTGGCCACACTTTTCTCTTTTATGTGCCTACAGTGTTTTATGTAAGTGATATGACAGGTTGAACAACCTCTTATTTCAAGTTTTAACACAAAATATCTGAGCCTAAATACAATTGRAGTCTTTGAAAGTTTGGATATGAGCACTCTGTAGGGTTCAACTCCTGTGCCAGTGAGAAAATCAGGTCTGTGTGTTAATTAAGCATAAGAAGTGTAAAGTTAGATAGCTTAAAAGTTGGAGTTTATGACATTAACACACTGTGTTGAACATGGAGTAAAAATCTTTTAAAAAAATCATAAAACTTTAACTGCATTTAAGTTTAAAAAAAACGTAAATTATGTCAAAATGCAGGTTTAGACATGCAAACTATCCATTTAAACTTGAAAGGATGTTTTTCCTGTGAAGTATTTATATCTGAACTACACAGCTCCAGAGTGTTGAGTTTTCTCACTTCTTCTGCCCAAAAYTGAACATTTTCACAGCTTTGTCCCCAAACTTGCTCTATATGCCATGCAATGCACTGCACATTTTCCCCAGTCAAGACACACATTTTGATTCATCTTTTCGTATTTCCAAAGACTGCTGGGGGAAATAACTGATTAAGTGACAAAAACAGAAATATAACCAATAAATGGGTGATTTAGTGTTTATGCTGTAACAAATTCCATTTACTACAAGAGAAACAAACAATAAACCAGAGCTTATCTTCTCACTTAAAAAAAAGTCACTGATGATGAAGAAATAAATAAACTAATAATATTTGGTTTCGTTTTCTACTGAAGTGACAAAAAAATACTTTTTTTTCAAGTTGTGAAAATTGAAGTCAATAGTACATGA